CGATGCCAAGTTTGGCCAACTTGAAGAGGGCACCAGCACTTAGAAACAAGCAGAAACAAGCAGGGGCTAAGCAAACAGTGGCCCTTTCTTGGTGTGCGGATTTCGTGGCTGCGGGATGTGTAGCTGGACTAGGCTCATGCAGATTTGGAGCCAATGCGTGAGTTCATTCAGGCTGCAATCATGCGCTTTATCCCCGATGCTGATGTTCCGAATTTGCCTCCCCGAGAAACGCTTTGAGAGAGCAGCATCAGTGAATCAGGGAGGCTCACTCATCATTGATAGCCGGTCGACAATGGCTAAATTGGCGTGGTAGCCCAACGGCAAAGCTCATTAATGGTACAGCCATCCATGATGAGTGTTCTCAGCCTGTTGTTTTGTGACGTCGGAGCCCTGCAGGAGGTTGATTCTGTGGGCCGTCAGGACTCGGAAGCAAACCGTTGCTGCTCAACTTGTCCAGTGTGTTCTGTAAAAAAACATGAAAGTTTGCGCCTCTGGAAGCTGAGGCTGCTTAGCCGTTTTTACTGGGCAAGGCTTGTTTAAGATGTCGATGATGACCTCAGGTGCGCCCATAGGCGTTGCAAGTTGGCTAATTGCAGTGTCTGTGCGTATCTGTGGTCCCGGCCTACTGGTGTTCCACTTTTGGGGCATGTGGGCGCTGATCGGAATACACGCTTTGCCTCGATAACTGGCAACCCTAGCTGTTTTAAAGCAACTCTGAAACTTAATATATGTTTCAATTATACATTGAATTGAATTAGGATCTTCTGATTTGGCGTAATGTCCAGGTGGGCTCGAGGATATACGTGTGGCTGCCAGACATTGAGGTTGGTGGCGCAAAAGCCAAAATGTGCCCCAAGCGAGGCCAGGATGCTGTGTAAGTCAACCGCAACTCGACAGCCAACCTTTACCGCGTAGCCCTTGACCCTGGTTATCCGCGTATGGGGTTTGCCAGGAAGACCTAGGCCGAATCGCCACTCTCACAGATCAGGCATAATCAATTCAGGGTGCACGTCGCTTTTAGGTTTGGTGGGAACTCTGGGGCTAGATGAATGGAATCGGCTTCCAAGCGCGCACGCGGCATAGTTTTGGGCAAGCCGGAGTCTCAACGGGGGCGATACACTTGTCTTCGAAAACAGACCCAACCAGAGCGTAACCAGACAATCTATTACATTGGTGATCTGCTTTGATTTGCAGGGCTTGCAGCTTGACGCCCCGATATCTGGCGAGAAACTGCGTGGCACGTTCTTTTTTCTTCTTTTTCTTCTCTTTTTTTCCGACCAGTGTTAGCAACAGTACAACAATGTTTCGCATGGGGTCCAAGTAACAAGGCAGATGTACTTCACCCCACAAACCCGTAAACACACTCATGGCACTCGCGCCCCGAGGGGTCTTTGAAGCGTGTAATTGTTTCCAAAAATTGGACTTTTTGGTTGCACCTTGGGGTGCAAAGCCAATTTCCGGAAAACATGCTGAATTTGATGTTTTTCCAGACATGCCGTGTGTGACAAAGCATGCAAGCCTCTAAGTGGCCCAGCCTGAGACGAGTGTGGGCAGGTTGCGCGCGTTTGTTTTGAGACATTCGTTGGTTGATCAGGAATTATTCGGGATTCTGGGCCAGCTCGTCAGGCGCGCGGCAACCCTCTAAATATTTGGCCACTTCAAATTCGCATTTCCGGGTTGAGGGCTTCGTGACGCGGCTAGCTCATGGAGAATCTAACGAAATCTAACGCAAATCTAACGCTGGAAAGTTGCCCAGCACGGTCATTTAACGCAATTTGCACGAATCTAACGCAAATCTAACGCCGCTTGGTTCGCATCACCGTTCAACCAATCATTGCTTCAAAACCCTTCCTAACACCGCGGAACCGCAAAACCCATCCAGTGCAGCCCAGTCAAGGCACATGCTGAGCAATTTGTCTAGACGTGGGCAGATGGCTCAACAAGGGCTGCCTGTCCCACCATCCCGAAAGCACTGAGAAAGCCTATGCAAACGATTGCGCGAATGCTGTACGTGAGTAGGTGTCAGAAAAGGGCTTCCAATTCAACACATCCCAAGCGCACCGATCGTGATTCCTGCATGCCCACCAGTTGCACATGGGCAGGTGTCAATACAAGGTCTTCTTTCAATAGCTTCAATAATTGCTACTTGGACCGGACCCCATGCGAAACATTGTTGTAGTGTTGCTAACACTGGTCAGGAGTTGTTCCCGGAAAAAAAAAGAGGAGAAACAAAACACGTGCCACGCAGTTTCTCGCCAGAAATCGGGGCGTCAAGCTGCAAGCCCTGCAAATCAAAGCAGATCACCAATTTAATGGATTGTCTGGTTACGCTCTGGTTGGGTCTGTTTTCGAAGACAAGTGTATCGCTCCCGTTAAGACTCCGGCTTGCCCAAAACTATGCCGCGTGCGCGCTTGGAAGCCGATTCCATTCGTCTAGCCCCAGAGTTCCCACCAAACCTAAAAGCGACGTGCACCCTGAATTGATTATGCCTGATCTGTGAGAGTGGCGATTCGGCCTAGGTCTTCCTGGCAAACCCCATATGCGGATAACCAGGGTCAAGGGCTACGCGGTAAAGGTTGGCTGTCGAGTTGCGGTTGACTTACACAGCATCCTGGCCTCGCTTGGGGCACATTTGGGCTTTTGCGCCACCAACCTCAATGTCAGGCAGCCACACGTATATCCTCGAGCCCACCTGGACATTACGCCAAATCAGAAGATCCTAATTCAATTCAATGTATAATTGAAACATATATTAAGTTTCAGAGTTGCTTTAAAACAGCTAGGGTTGCCAGTTATCGAGGTAAAGCGTGTATTCCGATCAGCGCCCACATGCCCCAAAAGTGGAACACCAGTAGGCCGGGAACACAGATACGCACAGACACTGCAATTAGCCAACTTGCAACGCCTATGGGCGCACCTGAGGTCATCATCGACATCTTAAACAAGCCTTGCCCAGTAAAAACGGCTAAGCAGCCCCAGCTTCCAGAGGCGCAAACTTTCATGTTTTTTTACAGAACACACTGGACAAGTTGAGCAGCAACGGTTTGCTTCCGAGTCCTGACGGCCCACAGAATCAACCTCCTGCAGGGCTCCGACGTCACAAAACAACAGGCTGAGAACACTCATCATGGATGGCTGTACCATTAATGAGCTTTGCCGTTGGGCTACCACGCCAATTTAGCCATTGTCGACCGGCTATCAATGATGAGTGAGCCTCCCTGATTCACTGATGCTGCTCTCTCAAAGCGTTTCTCGGGGAGGCAAATTCGGAACATCAGCATCGGGGATAAAGCGCATGATTGCAGCCTGAATGAACTCACGCATTGGCTCCAAATCTGCATGAGCCTAGTCCAGCTACACATCCCGCAGCCACGAAATCCGCACACCAAGAAAGGGCCACTGTTTGCTTAGCCCCTGCTTGTTTCTGCTTGTTTCTAAGTGCTGGTGCCCTCTTCAAGTTGGCCAAACTTGGCATCGTTGGGTTGGATTCCTGGGCTAGCGTGCTCTAATACAAAACAAAGGGTCAAAAGGGCGCAAGCAAGGCATGGGTTGAACACAATTGATTGAAATATTTGTGCTAGAGTGTGGAAAGATCTATGCCGCATATGCCCCTCACCTAGGATCGAGCGCTTCGGCCCGGAAAGTGTCCAAGCACGTACATGGGCCCTCCCTACTGCTGGCCAAATTCTGGGGGCACGTGCTGTACATTGACCATGTTTAAACCAAACATGCTCATACAATGTTTCCTTGCGACCTTGACCAGCCCCTCTGAGCCATATGGCCCCAAAAAGGCCTCAGCACGCACATGGGGCCTCCGACCATGCTGGGCATGCTTTTGCTGAACGACAGTGCTGGAGCACTTACTTCGAAAGACCTTCCTCAGAAAGTACATGGACCCTTAGGGTATATATATGCAGGTATTGATACATATTCTATGTATATGAATTATTTGCGTGGGTGCTTGTTTTTGAGGATACCCCTTTTGGGGGTTGAGTTTTAAAGGGAAACCAAGAGGAAATCAAGCATCCTTTAGGGTCCCCGATTCTAAGAATTCCCTCCCAAGCGGTTGGGGCTCGGCAACTGACCTCCAAAACTTTTGGACATCCGGGGTACGCAGAAAATATGTTCAGTGTCTTTCCTTTTGTAGGAACAATCCAAAGAAAAACAAAAACATAAAACTGTGTTTAGGCCCCAGTCAACTCTACCAGAGACCCCAACGGCTGTCCCATGTCACGAGATGCTTTGCACAGCTTCACGGGACCAATCTGCACTTTGGCTTCAATTCAAGCACCAACTATCTTATCCGTTTCAACATTGTGAATGACACCACGTGTGTGTCGAAATATGGGCGCCCAAAAACTGACGGTTTTCCGGTTCGTGGACCTTGGACGCAAGTTGCCCCTTGACGAAAGTACAGGCCTCCTGTGAAGCGACTTTCGGCTTCTCCTGCGGCATACGAGCTTTCGGCGTGTGGGAGGTGCACCAAAGAAGCTGCTGATGACAACACCCCTCCCGCCACAGGTTGAATGTTTGGTGCAAAGAGAACACAAAGGAACCCAGAAGGCAACCCCAAAACGGTGAGAGTCTGGCAATGCAGACACGTCATGAGAATTTATGCACAAGATTTGCCAGCCTGGTCAGCTGTAATTATTCCCGGCTGAGGAAGAAGTCGGGAATTGAAGAGGACACGACTCCCAGGATCCAGGATCCCATGGGGATCCTCTCAAAAAGCTGGCTTTCCTTGTCGCTTCCCTTGAAAGCCAAACAAAGAAGGTACTCAAAACAAACCGACTGAAATGCAAGTCGATTTGAATGCGACCCCAAGCTCCAGGATGTCGGTGGCAGCTCGGACGACCGCGCGCTCTCACGAGCTTCACTCCTTCTCCAGAAACACCAGGCTGTAGTACTGCACCTAAATACGTGCGTTCAATGCGTGCTTCAGCGCGTGGGTGGGTGGGTGATCCGGGTGAGGAATGTGTTTGTGTGTTAGTTGGCACCT